TCTCTGTTTTGAATACAACAATGATTCTTCGTTTTACATGAGATGTTGGGTATTTCTTGTGTGACTGAAAAACTGTTGGCTTGTGAACAAGAAGTCAGCTCCATGGAGTTGGTTCATCTGCTTTTACAAGAGTTGACTTGAAGTGGTAGGTAACAACGGAGATAATAAATCTATTAAAATTGATATATTGGAATACTGTATATACCCATACAGGGCATCTAATTCCTATTTCCTACCAGGGATCTAATACAGAAAAAGCCAAAGATACTACGAAATTTTGGACGAAAACTATAACTAAAACTCCGTTGCTTTAGTCCGCAAGCGAGCTATGCCGAACGAACGACCGCCGCTTGTCCGTGAAGTTAGTGTTAATTTTAGCGGATAGAGGGTGTCGCGTGGTCAACGCAACGGATTCCCACTTGCCATTAATTTCGGTTTTCTAGACCGGAGCCGCTATTTCCTTGAAATAGCTCCTCAGTTATCCTCACGAGTCTGAGTGGACCCCGTTCCAGACCCACTACTTCTCAGAAAATATGGTAACGCCGGGAATCGAACCCGGGACCTCTGTACCTGTAGCCAGGAACTGTGACCAGTAGACCACAGAGGCGGTCTACATTACAGCGTAGCTATGGAAATTACAACCGTACAGCTATACCTGTCCGACTTCCGACTTGGGCGGTGGTAGCTGAGGTGTGGATGAATAACATGAAATAATATTTCAAGGTCATTAGGATTGTTGGTATTGGGTAACTCAGCCGGTACCCAAAGGTTTTGATTCTGCACCTTTTAACAAGCCGAAAGTTTTCACTTTGAGGATGAAGTTCATTTATTATGAATCGCCAGTTTATTCACTCGGAACACTGAATTAGTTGAACCGCAGAAGCGATATGGGACTATGGTATGATAAATTACCGGCGGACGCAAATTTAACTAAATGCCCGGATATTAACTTAATTAAGATAATTTTCTGGAGCTGCCAAACACATCCGTTGACTTCGAAATTTCAAAACGAAAGGTTCAAGATGACTTGTAACTAGTACCAAGGAATCATAACCTATCCAAGAAGCATTGTGCAACGCTAATACAAATCGTGTTTTCCAATTTACTGCTTCGAACAGAGCTCCTCGCCCCAAAATCGAATATATACACCCCTGTTGGTAAAATACTAAAGAAAATAACGTCATCTTAACTAATACATTTTCAAATCTGCAAATCATCGGCTCCAGGACGTACTCGGACCGGCCGGATCCCACTGGACCTGACTTGTGACAGAAATTGCTTCCTGCTCAGATTTCGGACTCCAGATATCAGAATAAAAAAACTCAAGAATTAATGACATGACACGGACAATAAAACTTGGAATTGCATCATCGTAGGTGGTTGGTTCGTTGGAAAGGATTCTTGAAGTAAGCTGTCATGTCCTTAATTCGGGCCTTGCCTGGAGAGGCTGAGACACACAACGAAGAATTCGGCAGCGATAGAAGATATCCCAGCCGGGTTTTGAAATGGTACCGACCTAATACGAACTCGGAGCTTTTGCATTACGCGCATAAGATATGCTGAACTGGGTTAGTATACTTACGTAATTGAAATAACTGCGAAGTCATAATTAGGAAAGAAGGAAGAGTTATCAAACTTATCAGCCAATAGAAAAATATTGCGTCATTCTCCCAGAGATTAAACCATGCAGAGCGACGGGCCTAACCGAGCTTCACAGTGATGCAGTAACGTCATTCAAGGTGGATTCAGTGCGTGTGTAAGCAGCTGGAGGTAGGAAGCGGTTCGGAGTGTAAGTTGTTGGCTGAGAAACATAGCAGAATGCATGTGGAACTGACTGAGGCCTCTGAAGGGAAACTACTTTTTATACCAGCGACACACACACACACACACATTATTGACAGACAATCTCAACGCTACGAAACTTTGCAATGAAGCTTTACCTTTAACATGTCCATTATTTGAGATATAACTTCAGTGAAAGTAAGCTTATATTTCGGAAGAATATATCGCCTCCATGTTCAGGGAGGAAGAATAGCTAAGACAAGAAACCTGTATGATGGAGGCGTCTTGTTGTGTAGTCTAGTAAATATTTCCTTATTGCCTGTTTTACACCGGTTTCTTGTTTGGTTTACTCTTCGATTCCGAAGATGGAAGCTGTATGTTCCTGCGAAACCTCTGTTGACTTTCACCTTACTACACGACGTTATATCCTAGTAGATGTAACGCTTAAAACAGTGGTTAATTATTAATAAGATTGATACCTAGTATTAGCACGTTTTCAGGTCATTTTAGAGCATGGTGGGTGATGAAGATATACCACTGAAGTATAGCTGTTCGCATTCCTAGTCTCGGCACTAGATGTAGGTGAATGGTAAGCTTCACGCTCTAGCCGCTTTTCTCTCGGGAAAATAAACTCCTTGACCCATTTCATGGGAAGACAAGTTGGTCCCACATCTTGCGCAAAGGCTGCGACGAATAGAAACATCTTTTAATCCTGTCGAGAACCGAATATCGATTCGCCGATCGACCAGCGATTATTCTAGACGCCATACTAACAGTTTTTCTGAGTATAAACATGTATACTACTACTACTACTACTACTACTACTACTACTACTACTACTACTANTGGTTCTTGATGCTGGCCCTGCTGTCGGTGACTCTGAGTCACGGCGCCAGGATCCTCGGCGTGTTCCCTTTCCCAGGAAGGAGCCATCTCATGGTACATAAGCCACTGATGTTGGAGTTAGCCAGGCGTGGTCACGAGATTACAATGGTCAGTGGTTTTCCGGAAAGCAAGCCGATCCCTAACTACACAGACATCGAAGTAAAAACAACTTTTGAAATTCTAATAGGAGACATTGGTAAGCCACTTGATGAAATTGTAGTGTGAATGTACATGATTATATCTTATCTGCATGTAATGCAGACACTTCACAAGTAAAATGGCCGATGGTTTTCATATTATTATCAATAAATAAGTAAATTATGGTCTCCACTTCTAATATTTTTAAACAAATTTATATTTGTGCATATGAGAACTTATTTCAGATTTTAATCGCATATTTTGTAAAAAATCAGCAACATTTCTTGATTATAACAGACTTTTTATCTTTTTTCGATGGCGAATTTGTAAATTGACTTTTTTTTTATTCATACATTTCTGCAGTAATTCACAAATTCGTTGATGAAAGTGGCAAAATTTCGCTTTTCTAATTTTCGGAAGTAGCAACAGAGGTTTCCTTTAACTTTGTTCAAATTCAGTGCATTTCATAAACTGCGTGCTTATTTTATATTTATTTACGGCGCTTGGTATTTCATTTAACAGACAGTGGTAAATTAAAGATGTATTTATGTCTCAGATATCTACTTCAATACAAGATAACTTACTTTTAGCAATTAGGAGATTACAGCGATAACGCGATCGGGTTTCTACCTTCAACTGTTTATCTTCTAAGCCACCATTTCAATTTATATTTTTATAAAACGTAATTACTTCCACCAGCCTAAAGTCAAGATGAAATTTCATGCTAGCAGAACAAGTTAAATTCTGCATTGTACAGATTAAAATCAAATTTTGCGCAGAAGCCCTCCATGTTCTGGATCTTTATTAAAAAGAAGGCGAAAATATAATACAGCATATGTCCTGAGACGCATAATTTCCGTGTTACACATCATCGTCAAATGTAACATGCGTCTCAACAGTGTTACCTGTTGCGGTGATACATGGCACTTTGCTACGTGTTTTCAAGGCACACGGTAGAGGTCAGTTGCGATCGAAAGGTCATGGAATACAAACACGATGATAACTGCGACATGCTCTTAACGCTCCGTAAAAAACAAATTAAAATTGTCCCTGTGCTTTACTAATTACGCAGTTCACCATGAAGACGTATGGGGGAGTGGATGTATAGATCCACATTTTCTTGACCTCCGCACTACTTTGAAGTGAGCGGTCAGCTTCACGCCCCCGCCGCTTTACCCCTAGGGAAAGAGCCCCCAGTACTCATTGGATAGGACGTTTGATGGACGTCAGAGCCAGTCTGGACGACGTGGAGAGGATTCTCTTGCCCATACCAGGACTCGATCTTCACCATCCCAGTCGCCCAGACCATAGCCAGTCGCTATACCGCCGCAGCTATCCCGTCTCCTCCTAACCTGCAGATTAACCTGTTCCTGTAACATTATAGCTGGTACTTCTTCACGGGAGTAGGCGTCAATTTATCCTTGTTTAAGCCGTTCTTTCGCTACTCTGTTTCGACGTTCGGAGCAGCGTCTCCGTCAATGTGGCAGCGTAGCAAGGCACACGTGAATGCGGTTACGGACCGACTGTACGGACAATGTTGATACCATCTCTGGAACGAGAGCCGTGGATAATGTCACGTGATATCGCACGAGAGCTGAGGATCTTCGAAGTGCTTTAGGAGGATCAGTTTCATCCACTCCAGTACTCGCGTATTGCGTATCCATTTCAAGACCATGGCCCTTCACGGATCCAATTTTGAGAATTGTGGGCACACCTGAAGGAGCACGTCAGTGCAATTCCTCCTAAATGCTATGATAGTTCACTTGCCAAGACAACCGGTATAACAAAGGCGATGACGTCATATCGAGGCGTATTTGTAACAGCGTTGTGCGGCGCACTGCAGCCTGCCTAAATACGGGCGAGAGACACTTTCAAAGACTATTATTAACAGAAGGTTCCTATGCTTTTATCATTTGATGCTTATGCCGTTTGACGGTGATATGAATGTTTTACAATATTTCCAACTTGTTATTGTAACAACTATTAACACCATGGAGGACTTGTAGGCGAATTTCTTGTCACGTTATATGTAGAATTGGCGACAGGTTGAAAGCTCCGCGTACTAATATACATGACTGAGCCTTATATTCATTTCTCGATTTGTTCATTTAAGTGAGGGATAAAATTATATTTTGTATTAATTAAAATCTATACGTTTACAGTTCCACCAAACATGTTCGATATGAAGACAATGGGGACCGTGCAACAAACAGTAATGTTGTGGTATTTCGGCGAAGCATTGTGTGATCACGTACTGCAAGAAGAAAACATTCAGAAACTGATACATTCTAGAGATCTGCATTTCGATCTTGTGTTGGTTGAAGCCTTCTCAATGGAATGTTTCTTGGGATTTGCCCATAAATTCAATGCTCCCATTATACAGATTTGTCCCTACGGAGGTGCAAATTTCATGGGAGACTGGGTAGGAAGTCCGA